ACGGCCCTCTGAGGGCCGTGGAACGCCCGCCGGACGAGGGCATCGGTGCTGCTGAGGCTGCTGTCCCGGCGGGACGGGCCGGCTGGGGAGGGGGGCGCGCTGACGTAGCGCGCCAACGCGGCGTGTCGCCGGGGTCGGGGAGTTTCCCCCGCGATGCCGTTGACGCTGTGGGATGACGACAACGTAGAACCAACGGAAATTTCGACCGCCGAGGGGTCTACTCGTAGACTCATCGCGGGAACACCCCCTGAACCTTACTACACAAACGCAAGAAGATAATAAGATAACTAAGTCGTTTCAGACCCTTTAAAGTTAAGGAAAATCTATCCTTAAAAAGTGAATGTGGCGTGGAGGTGCAGAACGTCTGTGGATGCACATGTCAGAATACGTACTAATTTGGGGGGATTGCCAAGCACAGAAGAAAGGTAAAGGATAAAAAAAATTGTTGCACCCCCGAAAAAGATTAGAGTGTTAAGCCATGAGAACGAATCCAAAATAAAAGATTGCTACCCTGTCAGCGGTGCGGTCTATGGCATACTACAATTACACGACACTTATAGAATTTTACAAATTACCCTTTACGATTTCCTTTCTTGTCCAATATGCATAGATAGAACAGCTCATCGGAATAACTTCTGCGTTCCTTAGTCCTCATTCTCGGCGCAGGACTCCCATGCGGGGTCATCCAGCTCGTTTTCCTTCTCATCCTCGTTTTCCTCGTCGTTCTCGGGCTGCAGTAATGAGATCGGGTCGTGGTGGTCGAGATCGGGGACCTTTGCCGCCTCCTCCGCGCCTCCCATTTCCTCCACAAGCACGCGAATCGCGTGGTCCACCTCTGCGATCGCATTTGTATCGCCGTCTGAAATCACGAGCATCATCCGCGCACGACGTAAAAGGCGAGCGGCGTCGATGTACCGTCCCCGCATCCGCGCACACTCGCCGAGTAAGAACCAAACGTATGGATTGTTATCCCCAAGCTGAAGGATCTCTAGCAGAAAGCCGAACGCCTCGTCGGGGCTGGCCTGCATTAAAAGCCTCCCGAGCTCGACCTTCGATTCGTAGGTCGGCTGGTGCGCCTCGCTAAGGCGGTGAGTGAGGTCTACGGCGCGGCGGAGGGCCTCCAGCGCGGCCGCGGTGTTATTTTGGCTGAGCAGAAGCGAGGCGTGGAGTTGATGGGCCTCGACGCCGTTCGGGTTATATCCCAGCGCCTTCTGCACCCACTCCTCACAACTCACCTCTGCCTCCGCGTGAAAACAAAGATCGGTCAAATACAGCTCCACCATCGCGCAGCAGATGGTCGCCAAGGTCTCCATTAAAGCCTGTTTTGCCTTCTTTTTACGGCAGCTGCCTAACTCAAGATGCGCGATGTCATGCGCGCTTTGATATAACCGCAGCGCCTCCTCGGCCTCGGTGAGCTGCGCTAGGTTGAGGTACTTCACGTAGCCTACGTTTGGATTGATCTCGATGGCATGCCGTAGCATCTGCTTTGCGCGTTCGATATCCTGCACGTGATGAATCATGATCTCCGCATAAGCTTCTAATATGTCCTCATTGTTGGGTGACTGCAATAAGGCGATTTCATAAAACTCGCAGGCGGCTTTGATGTTTCCCACATCCACAGCACTCTGCGCGAGATTGAGAAGCGTTGGAGTGTCCATTTTCGTCACGGATCACTACTTTGAGAAGGAAAGAAAAGAGAAGGAATCATTACTAGTGATGAAAAAATTCGTAAATAAAAATACCATACAAAGAACCACATGTAATGCAGAAAATCGCATCGGCATGTTTGTACATGGGGAAAGGAAATTCCATGATACAATGCTACTCCAGACATCTTTTTCCACCTTTTTTTAACCTCTAAAATGATGTTTCTAATGACAATTTCATCCACATGATATTCAAAAAAAAGTAGATGCAACTATATTTTACATAAAACCGGCAGTGATTTTTTAAATTTCCCTTTTCTTGTCTAAAAGTACTATGCCTCTCGATCGGTTTGGAAGGAAGAAAAACATCAACAACGAGTAAATTAAAAAAAAAGAGGTGATGGTAAGGAAAGCTACGAAAGGGTCATTGACTTTTTTACTGCACATCGAATTACCCCCCTTCTATCACTTTGGAAATAAACTCGTTCAAATAAAATGACAGGATTAAACGCTCAAACAGATGCTGAATCTCCTCAGTGTACGCTACTTCCTCGCCATAATCGCTTCTATAGCGTTTACATTCCAAAGTAATAATCTGCACATCTCGGCCTGTTAAAGGGATTGGTGCATCCAATATGGCATCACAATATTCTCCCCAGGAAATCACCCCTTTGCATTCTTTATCAAGCTCAAAAAAATAGTTGCTGAATTCCCTTTCTAGATCTTCACGGTTCATACCGTGAATTTCCACATCTGGATTTTGATGAACTACCGAGTCAAAATCCTGCTCTATATGCTGTAAAAACGGCAAAAGAAATGCGCATTGCTTTACAAAAGTCTCGTATTCAATAATATCATCCTGGTGCGTTACCGTCGTGGGGAGAGCCGTTATCAGAAAAAGATACTGGACAGGGCTGAGCTTAAAGTGCTCGCTCAACACGCCGCGTAACTCCTGGATGCTAATTACCCCTTTATGAGATTCATCCAGAGAGGCTAAAGCTAGAAGCAGCACTTCTTCCGTCAATACTTCCTCTTCCTCCTCCTCCTCCCTACCCTTCCCATTTTCTTCCTTAACAGGAGTAGCAACAGGAGAAGTGGCATGGGCCTTAGCATAATTTAAATCGCTTTGGGGGGTTTTTGCTTGTTGAACGCGGCAGGAGGGGTCGGATAGGAGGGCGAGCTGTTTAAAATATTCCGCGCTCCACTCAAGAATATCATGCGGTTGCGCTCGCAGCACCTCACGCGTGAATTCCTTTAAAACAGTAGGAAAGTTCGTCGGTAACCTCGGCCGAGGTTGCGGATAAGGCGGACAAGCCTCCCCGAGCACTGTCTGTTGTGTCGACATTATCAAAGCTTCTTGGTAATTTTTTTATTATTGGTATATTTTTTCCTTTGAATGGAATGAAATGTCAAGTTTCCTTTTCTTTGTTTATAATATATATCGGGCCAAGAGTCGTGGCTTCACACCTGTAATTTACTTGCCTGAAAAAAAAAACGATCGTGGAGGATGACAAAAGGGGGTAATCATACTATCAATCTACGTGGTAGTTACATAACTATAAATACAAGGATTCGGTAAAGAAAGATATTGCATCAGTAACATGGAAAGGAATTCCATAGAAAGGACCCCTTCCCATATTATGAGGCAACTAAACCGACAAAAAAAGGGAAAAGGAACGGAATAATGTTAAGAGAAAAAAAAGGAATACCTATTTATGTCAGTAATTCTTTGTTCTGTGAATCATTATTTTTTTTTTACCTACTCGTCATCCTTTACTTTGGCTATTCACTAATATGGATGGCAAAATACAAAAAACAAAACAAAAACGGATAACCGAGTAGAAGAAACTAATTCTACAGATTAGAAGGAAATGATGCCTTCAGTATTGATACAACCCCCTCTAACTCAAGTCGCTTTCCACCGTTTAGAAAGCATCGTAGAGGAGGTGATTAATCGCGGGGGCGAGGCTGAAGGTGCGATCACCGACGACCTCGCAGACCCCATTACTACGGACGAGGAACTTCTGCTGCTCGTCGAACCAGCGCAGTTCGAACTCGCCGTTGACAAAAACCTGCACCCCCCCATTTGAAAGGAGAAAAGCTGCAAGCTGGCGGTCCTCACTAAAGCGAAACCATCGAAGGTAGACAAAGGGATCGCCATGATGGCTGTGGGCGCTGCGGGGAGCCTGATAGACGGCGACAGGGCCAGGCGCCCGGCGCTGTTTCATTGCGTTGATGTCGAAGGCCTCGATTGCCTGGAGGGCGCGGAAGGCCCCGGCGATCTGCGGATTGGCCTTTGCTGCGACCAACGTCGTCAGCCGCGCGTTGTCCTCCCCGCTCTCAACGTCGACCCCTTCCACGACCAAAAGCCGCCGCTCCAACATCGAAATAACCGCGGAGTGGATGGGGAAGTCCCCACTCAAAAAGACCGCGCCGGTGCGCCCGGGCTGGATGTGGTAGGCGAAGGCGTAGGGCTCCACCCCGGGCTCCGACGGGTACAAATGAAAGAAGCGCACCCATTCCCCCCCGAGAATCGCCTCGCGGGTTTCCGAAGGCGGGGCCGGCGTCGCCGTCGCGCGGAGCTTCGCGAAAGGCCGCCAGGGCCCCTCAGGCGGCGCCTCCCCGCGCTGCGGGATCGCCCCCGCCTCGTCCGTACAGGGACGGGGGCTGTCACAGCGGGGGGGGTTGCGGCTGTTGCGGCTGCGCGGGTCGCCGCCGGGGCTGGGCTGGGGGCCCTTGCGTGAACGGCCTCGGAGGGGAGGGGAGGGGGGGGAGAGGGGGGGGTCAACCCCCTCCTGTGCTGTAACAGGGGAATGCCGAGAGCGGCGCTGGCTGAGGTGGCCCCGCAGCGCCGGCCCGTTGGGGTGGCGGATGCCACAGCACCGGCAGGTGTAGGCCTTGAGGTAGCTCGCGTAACACGCCGGGCAGAGATCGCGCCCGCAGCTGCAGTGAAAGAAGTGGAGGGTCTTCTTCCGCCGCCCTGCCGGGAGGAACTCGTAATCGCAGGAATCGCAGACGATCCCGTTCTCGTAGCGTTTGCTGGTGACTTCTACGAGTTCTTTGAAATGATGAGGGTGAGTGGCGGATTTCGCCTGCTCCCCCGCTAACCACGTGATGTTGTAGCGCGCCTGATCCTCTTCGATGGTTAGACGAAAGCTCATTATAAGCCATTCATGCTCCACCTTCAGCATGGAAGCCAAATGCTGGTGATAATCAAATTCTCGCCGCATGGCAGCAGCAAGGCGAGGACTCGGCTTCAAAAATGGTTTATTGGAGAGGGAAGATCTTTTCTTTGCCGCCGCGCGAGGTATGCTCTGTCGGCGGTCGCTTAGAAAGGGATCGTGAGGTTTACTTTCGATAAGTTCAGAAGGTCGCTTCCTCTTAAGGAGTATCGGCATCTCCTCACTACGCGAGCTTCGATCACGGGAGGTTGACGGTTGCTTAGCATTAATAGTTCCCCCTTTCTTTGAGGATGTTTGCTCTACAACAGGGGATGGTTTTTTGCTCTGGGAACGCGATGTCGAGGGTGGAACTTCTTTAGGAGGCGTCCTATCATGCAAAAGCATAGTAGCCTTTGATTCAAGCGAATCATGCCTCGAACGTTTGCTTGTCGGTCTTTCGCGTTCGGACTCGCGGGGTGAGGTGATATAAATACCATTTATCTGAACATCAGCCTCTTCGTTAACGAGAAGTTCACTTCCCTCCCGCTCGCAAGTTCCCTTAATGGGGGTTTTGGTATTATTCAGAGAACTCAGATTACTACTTTTTTTGTCAACCTCAACGACTATATCATCGCTAGATCGGCAACCTTTACTACTACTACTACTACACACTAAAGAAATGGACTCTTCCAGGCTTGACAGCGGATCCCTCTCCAGCTGTTGATGGTTAAGAAGGAATTCACCCTCAGCTTCCACCTTCTTAGCGTGCGTCTCGTCGGATACGTTTCGCTCAGTAAGAGGGGAAATATGCTTGATTACAGCGGAAAATGCATTAGCTTCTGCCATTTTAGTTTCCTCTTTGTTTGAGTGAGATCCGTTCACCTCCACAACGCGGCTTACTAGTGCTGCTTTGGAGAGAGAGCGTTTGTGTGAGTTCACCGAATTCTCTCGCGAGAGTGAGGCGGTGGCGATGGGTTTTGCAATCTCAGTTCCTGCACACGATTTCACATTTCGACGAGACCGCGAGCGAGACATTTTCGCTGTTTCCTCCGCTATCACAACGGAAATATCGCGAATTGGCTTGCTTTTTTTGCTTGTGCTCGCGCGAACGTCGTAAATCTGCACAAAGGGCACCCCGTCGACATCGCATTCCTCATTAGAAACCACCTTTAGTGAGGCTTTTCTCGACGATGAGGGCGGTGAGGACGTCAAACAGCTTGCGTTCCCGTTGATTTGCGAGAAATCTCTGCCCCCATCCCCGCCTTTGAGAGGGCTCTGCGCGCGGCTGTGCATAAGGGAAGCGGAAACCCCCGCGCTGCGCTGCTCGACCGCCAGCATTAAATGAGCCTCGTCGTGTGCAAGCAGAAAATCGTCTTGCACGCCTAAAAAGCACATCAAATCCTCCGGTGGAGAACGCCGCCGGCAATCCCAAATCGGCATCTCCAAAATCATCTCCAACGTCGGCCGGTCCGCAGGGTTTTTGCGCAGCACGCTCTCGACGAGCTCTTTGAGATCCTCTGAAATAGTGCAATCCTCCGGCCACCGCCAATCCGCCGCGGCGACGCACTCCAAAAGTTGTTTATTTTGCTGCCGCTGGGGGTCGTCGGCGTGGGCGGAAGTGCCGCTCGGGTTGATTAGCCCCCCGCCCCCCGACCTTGCTGGCAAAAGCGAATCTTTCTCCGCTGTGGTGGTGAGCGTGGGCTGCGTGGTCACCCAATGATAGGGATTCCGCTTCGTGAAGATGGAAAACCAGACGATCCCCAGCGCCCAGACATCGGACGGCGAGCCGACACTCACGCGTTTATCCCGATAAAGCGCGTTATGGGCCATTTCCGGGGCCATAAAGGCGACCGTCCCCGCCACCACATCCCCCGGCAGCGGATCCATCTGATCGCAGGAGAGCCCGAAGTCGATCAGCTTGACATTTCCGTCCAGATCAAAAACGAAGTTCTGCAGTTTAACATCGCGGTGAATGCACCCCTCCTCGTGCACAAAGGCGACCGCGAGGGCGGTTTGGTAGGCCACGAACAACATCCCCGCCTTCTGGGCGAGGGGCTTGGCGAGGATCAGCTCGTGCAGGGTGCGAGGGACGCAGAGCTCCATCCCGATCACGACGAGATCCTCCGCCTGGTTCAGCGCGCCGAACTCGAAGCGGGGGAGGTGCAGCTTTCCTTTGGTGCAGGCCAGCCCGAGGACGTCGAGCTCGCGCCGAAGCCGCGTCGCGCTCCCGGTGGAGATTTTCAGCGCGAGCGAGGGGTAGTCCGGGCTGGCGGCGCGGTAAACGGTCCCGAAAGAGCCCTGGCCGATCAACTCCAGCGTTTGGATGGCCATCGCGGAGCCGCCCGAGCGGGCCGTGCGGCCCGGAAAGCGCAGCACCACTTCCCGGACCCGCGTCCCGTCGTAGTTGATGGAGTCCACCGTCCCGATCATCCCGCGCCGGTGGGTCCGTCGGGCGGGGTCGCGAAAAGGCCGAAAAGACGCGAGAAACCCTCAGAATAATAGGGTGGCAGGGCAGGGCCAATGTGAGGAAATCAATCAATCAATAAAAATATAGATATATATATAGGCGTATATAAATATTTAAAAAAAGAAAAAAGAAAAAAAGGTAAAGGACCGAGGCGAGCCTTCCTTTGAGCACACTGGTAATGGTTTTTGTTTTTTGTAAGGGTGGAGTTGAGGCAATATGAGAGGGAAGAAATAAATGATGCACTCGGTGTGTGTTTTCACTCTAAAGGGGCTGAAGAAGGCGCCTAGCCTAGCAGCAGCAGGGAGATGGGATGATTTTATTCAAAACTTAGAGCAGAAAAAAAAATGGAAATAGAAATACGTTTGGATCCGTACGCAAATATAATATTTGAGCAATAGATGCAGCATACGTTCCAGTTTTCAAGAAGATAATTTCCCCTAGTACAATATCAATGAACAAAAACTAAACCCGATACGGGTAAAGGGTAATTAATCGGTATTGATAAAGCCCGGATTGGATGCAAGCCGAAGGAAATCCATCCTGGAGTCGGCATCGATCAAGCACCCTAAGAAATGCAAACATTTCCCACTTTTCAGCCTAGACTGCAGTGCCGTATTGTTTGAATATTTGGTGTAGAGATAGTTTAAATAAGTTTGAACCGATTCACCCAAAAGGATTGAGGTGCCCTCATCACGAGCAGCGGCAAACGAAGCGGAAACAAGTATGTGAACTTGCCGAGCATTACTCAACGAATTGTTTAAGAAGTTGATCTCCTCCTCCATGATTTATAGCTTGTTATGAATTCTATAATCCCATATTCTTTGATGAGACGTTTGAATTTGAATATTTTTTTTTGTAGATCAGCTTTGCTAGTATCAGAGTTTAGTATAGAAAGGGTCGGAAACAGCTAATCAAATGGCATTTGGGGAATAACCGATCATGTGGCTAAAAAAAAACTCAATTAACTTCATAGAATCATCTTTTCCACATGTATGCCGAAACCATGCAAAATTATTAACTTACATAAATTTTAGTCCGAAGTAGCGCCAGCCTGTCTTTTATTTTTATGTAAAAGACGGAGGTGACGTACAAAGCGGGAGTGCGAATAAGTGTTTTAGCAAATGCACCGCTTCGTGGAAGGTATCAAGAAGGAAGGGTACAAAGGGAGGTAAAAAAAATACATCAGTCATCTCAACACAGACAAAATGATCTTTTTTACCCAAATAAGTGAAAGCTAAATTAAAGTCAATCAGAGTTTTTCAATGTATTATTCACCTTTGGAAGCTGAAAAAAAAAAATAAGAGACAAAAGGCAATTAGGCAACGGCAATTTTACAGTACGCTTGTGAACCCTCTTAGAGAAAATTTATAAAAGAAGATATACAAAAAAAAAAATGTCGACGATACAAGGAAGTTATATACTATAAAGAGACATTAGCATGTAGTTCAAGTTGTACAACACTCACTATTTGACATAAGCTATCCTAGAATTCTTGAACTCAAACAGAGCATTTTATTAGATAAAAATGGTACCAAATGAGAACAGGGAAAACACACTAAGTGTATAGATACTATATATATATATATATAGATAGATAGATAGAGATTTTTTTTTTACAAGATTAGCTATTTTATCCTATATAAACGTTTTTTTATGGAACATTTCTCCACAACCACAGAAGGAAAAATTATATCATTCCCCAATAAGGTCGCTACACATTCGCACTACATTCCTTTCTTCCCAAAAAGAAGACCTCAAGCGTCCGTTTAATCGCCTGGGCGTGTGAGACGTCTTCGGAGTTGACGTGGAGTTTCCCAGAGGATTTGGCGTCGTGATTTCGAGAGCTGCCGCGATTTCGCGTCCCGGCCGTGGAAGGGGTGAAAAGCGAAGGAACGATGGAGGGGATCCCGAGGGAGATCCCGCGCAAGGTGGAGAGCCCCTCCCCGACCGACGCCTCGTCGTCCGCGCTCGACGACAATTTGCACGAAGACTGTGCGGAAAACCAAAAAGGATTGGACGGCGTATTCCGCCCACCTTTGGTTGAGCGGTTCGAAGAGCGTTCGGATTTTAGCGGGGGGAAAGTTGTGGGAGGCGCCTTAGTCGCGCGCTTGGGCGACTCCGGAGGTTTCCGGTTATAGAAAGGTTTCCCGCCTAGCACGGGGGTTTGGTGGTAGTTATGGATCGCTGGTATTTCGAAACTTGGGGAAATCGGCTCGTTATCGGGCTCCATAGAGCATTCGGGCGAACTAAACTTGGAGACGCTGTCGTTTATAATCCCGGCTGGATAGGCATTGGAATACTTCTGGGTAGACGCCTCAACAGGTTTTTCAAGGAACGCCTGCACGGCGCGCTCCCGTTCTGCGGCGAGATTTCTTTCTCGCTCCCGTTCTAACCTAAAGTCTTCTTCCAAAACCCGCTTTTGATTCAGCAAATCGACGTAATTAAGATCGAAAAGGTAGCGCCGAGAGACGTCACCGAGCACCTCATACGCCTCCTGAACATCGGTAAACTTTGGCAAGGCGGCAGGTTCAAGCACGCTGTTGACATCCGCTATTAACGCATTTGAGCATCCTACGGAAGCTTTGGGCAAAAATCGATCCGGATGGCATCGAAGGGCAAGCTGCTTAAACGCGTTCCTAATCGCCTCGGCGGAGGCATTAGGGGATACACCTAATATAGAATAATAATCCTTAAACATAAAACTAAACTACCCAACAATAGGGGGAAAAAGTTATCTAAGGAGGGAGGAAGATAATTGGAATGCAATAAACTGTGATGTAGGTGTAAACCCATAAAATAAAATAGAATAAAAGAAGGGTAATCGATTTGGACCCGTACTTGACACCTCTCCAAGACATGGTGGACACCTGAGATACGCGAAGCATGGGGTAATAAAAGAGGGCAACTTCACTACGGCACAAGAGCGACCCCCAGAAGGAGCAGCAAAAATTTAAACGAAACCTATTATACACCATTAACACCATTT